TTTTTTTGGTATGGCGCTTTCACCTATGCGTAACGATAATTGGCGATAAATTTTAACAGCTTCTTCAAAGTTCTTTGGATTTTTGTTCAAACGAAAATCACTATATAATTTACAATGCAACTTATCGACGTACTTCTTTTCTTGATCAGTCAAATTTAAATTTGTTGCTCCTTCGTTTGTAAATATTGATTTGTCAAATATCGCCTTTAATGAATTGCTAACTTCTTCTTTAGATTCACGATTCGATAGTGTACGATCAAATATAAAAAATGCTTCAGCACCATAAAGAACACCAATAACAACATGTGTAGCATTGTTTTTATCATGTAAATCTAGATTACCTTTACCAAGATGTTTCATTGTTAATTCTTGAACATGTGTTGTAGTTGAATATTTTAGTGTCAGACGAGCTTCACGGTTTGTTTTTTGATAATCCTCAGCATATTTTGCAGAACCTGAAATATTCATTAGACCACTAAGCAGACTTAGTTTTAAACTAGCATCAACTCCCAAAGCATGTGCCTTATCTTGTAATGAATCTTCAGTAATTATTTCATAACCGTTGTATGGCTGTTTATGTGTGATGGTATGTTTCACCAAGGCCTGTGGATCCCATAGAGTGACGTTAGCAAATAACTTATCACTACGAATATCATAGAGCATACCCAATTGAAATGGCCGTCCCAATGTAACCATTGTAATTGTTTGCTGTATCGCCATAATTTTCAATGACTGATAACAAATAATTAAACATATCAGATGTAAAATAAGCATTGAATTGTAGTATATCCTTTCTTTATGCTACTGAAATAAAAACAAAAAAATCTCAGAACTATTCTCCTCTGACTTCTATGAAATAATTTCCATACCTTTGATTGTGTATTAGTAAGTCGTCTTTGTTTTGAAAAAAAAAACATGAAATATTAAATGGTAACCATCTTCTTATATACAGTCTTTCTTTATCTTTTTATTTTATAAATTCAAAATTAGTATACCTGGGTTTTTTCCCACTTTATGGTAGGTATCTATTACATTTCATTTATAACATGACAAAGAAGACCTTTTAATAATAGCTAGGATGGATTACGAAAACACAATTTAAAAAATTATCTTTTAACATGTAATATGATACTGATCATAAAATGAGAAAAAAACAAAACACAATTTACATTTGAAAATTACAATAACTCAACAAGAATTCATCGAAATCTTTCTTAATCCAAAATTAAATGAACATTCATATAATACTTGTTACATGAGCCATAGTCTATTTCAATATATTCCAATTGCGCTATGTAACAAAAAATAATAAGAAACTAGAGAAATATGGTTACCGGTACTCTTCGTATTGATTCATTAATATGATTCTTATTACGACGATATACGGAAAAAATACGCACTATTATGCTAACATCTAGTTTTAATTACCTTCAACTAATCACTTGAATTTATGCTGATAACTTTTGGGTTAATATAAGTCATCGTGAATGTTGAGAGTGTATACAAAGATATAGCTACCACGACTAGTTTCGATCTTGCTAAAGGGTCATGTCCAGATGACGCATAAATCTACATAAATCTAATAGACTATTATTGGTACTGATCTAAAAAAAGATCTAACTACAAAAAATACGTTTGGCAATAAGACTTACAGCAAACTAAGTTGTTGGACCAGATATTCCAATTCGACGAAAAACATTATTTGTCAGTAAATTATAACTTAAATTATACTAATTATGATTTAGTTCAAACGAATAAAAATAATACTTACATATAATAAGTAAAAGCAAATATGAGTATGACAAATCATGTTAACGTAATAGAATCACCGACAAGAAAGTATGCCATGATTGATTTTGACTTATGTCAATGAAATTATTATTGATAGAAAAATATATATTTAGAAATGGATAATATTTAGACGAATCCAGGTTGATTTAGTTGTTCGATGTTATTGATACACAGTTTCTCAGCAAATAAATTCGTGTATCAAACATATCGTTTTTATATTAACTATCGATGTACAATATTAGAGCATCGTTTGTACGCACTTACTTTATTATCGATGTAATTAAACAAAATATATGTATAACATACAATTTAAGGAGGATTACAAAGAAAATGTATAGGGTAGTGAAAACTGAAAAGCAACGTTGTTTGAATATGATTTATTGTGAACGACGAACAACACGTAGAAAAATACCATTTTTACTATTTAAAATTGTTATATTTCCCAACTGCATTGGAACCTAGAAATTAAAATTCATGATAGATTTAGATTTCACATAATATTATCATTTACTTCTGTTTTTTTCACATCTTTCAAATTCTACAAGACGAAGTGCTCGAACAATTCCAAGTTTAGCTGGGTGTGGGTGTGGGTGTAGGTATCTGATTTCAACCATACCCACACCCTCAAGTTGGTAAAATTGAATAACCCCTTTTTCCTAAATAACCAGCCAATCGTGGTGATAAAACTAGTTTTCAAATAATAATTCAAAAAAACAAAATAAGAATATATAAGTTTTAGTAAAATATTCTTACGAATAACAAGAAGAAATATATTTGCCAAACTAAAAGTAAAGAATTTTCTCAAATGATTGATTAAAGTTATATTTTCATTTTTTAATGAATTTGTTTCAATACCAAATAAACAACTTGCAATATTATCAAGAGTATGTTGACCATTTATACTATTATTATAAAAACAAAAAACTTTTCTCTTAAAATAATCCTGATAAAAATAAATGATTAACATACGTTTTAATATCAAATATTTCTTGTTTATCAGCATATTCGAGAAGACGTTCATTGTACATATCACTAACATCATTCATAAGACTATGCGTCTAAATAATTAATTAATCGAAAAAGAAAATAATATTAAATGAGGAAATTTACTGCTTTGAGTTTTGCAGTAGAGAATGTCGGTGAAATAATTGAACGAGCATTTTTCCATTGTTCATCTTTCAATACGGTAAGTCCATGTTCAAATGGACCTGCTGCACCTTCAATAGTCTATATAAAAACATATGTTTGGTGGAAAAAAAACGAAAGATAAGATTGTGATGTCCTACTCGTCGATTGATAAACACATGAGAATCTTTGATAAGAACATTTCGAAGAATATCTAGATCAGTCACAAGAATGATCGGAACTGTTCCTTCGTAAATACTATAATAGAATTCGAATTTATTTGCCATCGATTGTATCTATATAATTGTTTGCTTACCCAACGATTTTGCCATATTTTTTAACAAGTGCCACATCATTTTTATACATTCCCTACATATAAAATGTAGTTTAAACTTTGAGTACTATATCAAAATAAAATACTCTTCGTATAACGTTAAACATTTCACCTAGAAATGGAATAGGAGCTGGACCAGTCATTCCAATTCGACGAAATATATTGTTTGTTCGTAGATTATAACTAGAATTGGATTCATTAAATATCGATTTTAAATAAAAACAATACTTACACATAATAAATAAAAATAAGTATTAGTAAAACTAATAATGTTAATGTAATCGAATCACTAATTAAAAATAAACTCAGTTTTATATTTATTCTCTAGAATAAATCATAAAGTAGATCATTCTCTCATTCATATATGTATAGCTTGTTTTTATCATCATTCCTTCGCCACGTGACTCGATCTGATAACATTCTCCAGCATAATTTATCTTTCATGACTCATATAAAGGAGCTTGTTATTCTTTTTGACGAATATTGACATAAATAATCTCTGACAAATATTGTCAGAATGTGGACAAAACAATTCAAATACTGTTTTATTACTTTAAACTTTGATTTGTTCAATAGTTGATATAATACTTAATTAACAGAGGACAACTATCCTTCGTTATATGTTTTCTCTCGATATTGATTCTTTTGACAAGAAAATAAAATTAAAGCTAACGCAAAATCAATATCTACTAGCTCTACAATATTCTTATGCATATAAAATTTGTATGATTTATAAACAAGATTTATTTTTAACAAGTAACATAAAATCTACAATGAATTTTTGTTATGATTTTTTTTTGGTTGACAGAAAGAAGAAAGAAACTAGACAAAAGAGAGAAAGAGAACGAGAGAAGAAAAAATAAGACATTGATGATCTTATGATTCGGTAATATCAGTACAATAACAATCATCAGCAATAATTTCATTTTTTTCTGTATTATTAACCGGCTTTGAATTTATTTGATTCTCATCTTCTAATATTACACAACTATAGCTATCGTCTGAAGTGCAACTGTCTAAAATATAAAAATTTGTTTTTATAAAAATCGAACATATTAAAACAGAACATTTACCATCACAAGTTTGTATATTATTTTCTGATGTGCATGATGTCCATTTGTATGTGTTGGTATTTGGTCATCTACAAGCATAACAAAATTCTTATTATGTTCATAATGAGTTGTTGATAATTTTTTTGTTTTTTTCACAATATCTGATTCATTTTGATAATCGTCATCATCATCTTCTGGTAACTTTCGTTTTAATGATTGTTTTATTTCATCAATAACTTGACCATCGACAATGATATATTTATCTTTATCTGTATGTTCAAGGAATAATTTTATTTTTATATGTTGTAATAATGCTTCATTTGTTCATCTTCTTCTTCATCATCATCAGCTGACATTAATATTCTTCCACTAGCATCAGCAATAATAACATCAGATTTATTCATTTTTAAATGTTTACGTATTAAACGTTCATATAATGAATATAATGTAAATAATAACATATTTATTCCAACACGTACTGGTTCTTCAATATCACTGCATTGTATACATGGTGGATTTGGTTCTTCTAATAAGATTGATTGTATAATTGCACCTGTACTACGATTAGTTGATGTAAATACATTTCTTAATTGTTTAAGTGATGTTACTGCATGATCAGTTGATGAGCGTGGTAAACTAGAAAGAATTTTTCGTGCTTGTAATACAGTTATACCATCTTGAGGGTGTGGGTGTGGGTTGGATAGGTCTGAGGATAGCAAGAGTACACTGCCCACACCGACTCATATCCACACCCACTCACCTAACCACACCTGCGCCCACCCGTCGCAATGTAAAGCATTATGTGTGCTGGAAACGACTTAACTATATTATGTAAGATTAACAATGCGAGGTATAAACGAAATGGAGAGAAAAAAAGAAACAAAAAGCATACATAAAAAATTGAGACAATACAATAACTCGTCTCAGTAGCTCACAAAAAAGTTTACAGTTCATATACTTCTCGAAAACAACCAGAAAAGCATTAAGGATTCAGTTACTAGTGAATGAGTTATTATGCCATATCCCTTCCTTAATCGTTCCATTGGAATAACGCATTTTGCCTCGACCGTGCACTCTACCATTAACCCAATCACCTACGTATTCATCACCATTGGACCATGTGTTATTGCCTTTGCCAGTTATGGTGGCATTAACCCAATCACCTGTGTATTTATCGCCATTGGACCACTTCTGTGTGCCATGACCGTGCTTTTTACCATCATTATATTGTCCTTCGTACTTGGTGCCATCGGGCCACATGAATGTGCCATTGCCAGTTATGCTGTCATTAAACCAATCACCTACGTATTTATTGCCGTTGATCCATGTTTTTGTACCACGACCATGCATGCTGTGATTAACCCAATCGCCTATGTATTTATCGCCATTGGACCAC